GGGTAATTGTCTGTTTCCTCTCCCGCTTGTCTGTGGTTGTTCGCGCTTCTGAAATATTTTCTCTATTCAAGAGTGAGTCGATACCCTGAATAGCGTTTCAAGTTTAAGTTACACAGCATTATTGTCACAATGGGGTCCAACAAATAAGGAAATAAAAGCTACACACGACGAGTCGTGTTACCATGTGACGGGCATCACACTTGTATTTACAGCCCTCAGTGCCGAATATGGACAGCCCTTGTTCTCCATATCACAGAGTCCCCAACTCTTCCAATTGTAGTCCACTAGAATATTGGCGGCACGTGGCCGCCTTCCTCAACCTCATGCGGAGCGCTTCTGGGCGCTTCGCACCTCGCCAGTCGCCCCCCCACTGATGTCCTCTCTTTCCCCCCCCCACCCCTCCTTAATGTGTGCAGATACTATTTACTTTATTGTATGTAGGATGTGTAGAAATTTATTTTGGCTACAAATTTAAACAAAATTGGGGGGGAAGGCGGGGAGGTGTTTTAAGCTGTGCGGTTTGGTCTTCTATGTTGCGTTTGTAATCAACTAGGATAATTTTACGGAAAGGTGATGACGGCTAGTCACACTACAGCCACAGGTATGAATCCCGCACCTCCGATTTAGCACGGGTTGGCTACGTATAGTGCAAAATAAGTTAAACATACATATGTATCGTCATTCCAGTGCCCGTTGTATATAGCAATGTGCATCTTGTGTTGAATTGGCACTGGGGATTCATCGTGAGCCATGATCAATGCACTGCTGGATGAAAACTTGCCCAGGTCGCTTCTCACTCACACCCCTACAATGCCATAATCCCCCGAGCACTCGCGCACGGACTGATTTCACCACTCCATCTCCTCGGTGGACATCCTTCCCAAACGTGTTCAACCGCTTGACTTAGTACTCCGTTATTATCCTTGCCCCCCATCGACCCACCTTCATTACAATGGAGCTTCGAAGTGAGACATCCACTGGTGAGCAGCAGGAGTGTCCCGAGTTGCGGGAAGATCTGAACGTCAGAATATTAGGGCTCCTCGGCCGTCGACGGGAAGCAATCCTGATGCACCGATCAACGCAGATGTCAACCTCGTGAGATGGACAGCGGACAGGACGACGATGGGACACTTTCGTTGTCGAGGTGACGAGGCTTGAGTGCCTGTAGACTCGAGCAGCGCCACTCGATTGGGTGAACCACGGCAGTCAGGTGCCCGGCAAGGGGCGAGCGTTCCCTTCACCAACCCGGCATGGTGAAGTATGGCCAAAACCCTCCGCTGCATAACCAATGCACTGGGGTTAACCCCAAGGTTAACCCCGAGGTTAACCTGGTGTGATGTCAAACACGCTCACAAAGCAGGCCACCAAGTGAAGATTCAATTCTGTGTTTTAATGCGACGTGAAACAAACCGGAATTGAACTTTATTGTGCTGTTATTTTGTGAGACACGAACGGCCGTTCTAATTCTCTGCCCATGCCCTTATTGTGTATGCGTGCATTCAAATATCAAAACATTCCTATACCAGGGATAAGCAGTGCTTACAACTACAATTTTTTCACTGCGAACCAATCCCAACCAATTGTTGCGTGTGTGTCTGTTTAAAGCTGGGCCCACGCTCGAGCGATGAGTTGTGAATCTCCTCGCAAGCCGAGATCATCACCCACAACCGCTTTGTCCACATCTGAGTGGGTAGTTGCGCAACGAGGAAATAAAGCCACCCTGGTCAGGGATTGCAGCGATAAAAAATAGCAATTGAAATACGTGGCCACAAATTGCCGAGCTGATAGATTACTTTAAAGTAGAGTCTCTCTACTGTCAGCAACTGGTTGCGCAACTGCTCCCAACCGCTTGCAATGACGTCAACAAAAGAGCGATTCGGTTGCCTGCAACCACGTTGCACAACTTATGGCTTTAAGAATTCGAAACGCACATATATTTTTTAGTTTTTTATGCGAAATGAATTCCAACTTCATTTCAATTCTTTCTGTACATTTAATAAGCAGTGTTTTTTACGATTCATTTGTGTGCAGCCCATTACAATCAAATCTCACTGCACTGGAGAAGACGGTTTAAATCATGGGTGGCTGGCACGGATTTCAAACCCAAAATCTCAGTGGCGTTGGCTGTCGCTCTGACATGGCCATTGATGAGAGTCCCCCCCAAGAGCCACTCAGCCACCTCGTATCGCGATAAATAAAGACAAAGCGGGCACACTACATTTGAACAAATTGCGCACGCGTTAAGACATATGGCTTGAAAGCGCTGGATAATTACCGCATCTCGGCTCCGCATCCGGCAACATATTTGTTTCTCTATACATATGCAGCAATCACTGAAGCAAATAATCACAGCTGCTCTACATGTTTAAAGGAAGACCGCGACCCGCAAACATAATTGGGAGCCATTTGACTCGATGAGAACATTAATTTCGATCAGCGGCAATGGGGCATTATTTTCTCGATTCACTGCTCAAATTCCGGCTCCCCGGTTTGTTGTTGTTGTCACCATCGGCGAGTTTCAAATTCCTGCTCCCGTGTGTCAAGCCCCCTCAATTGGCCAACGTGTTGATCGATGATTCCACTCGGCTCTATCCTGGTTCGCGTTGCTTCCTTTTCACTTTCGCTTTGCATCTCACTTTTAGAGTTCACAGTTCCGCAAACACTTGTCACAAACATTTTACATCGATCGTTAAGCAACATGCTTTCATAACCGATTACAATGGTCCATATTCATATATGGGCCAATATTCTTGTCGCTAACCCTCCACCAAACCGACAATATTGCCACGATTACAAAGATATTATTATTCACACCTGGCCAATGTATTCTCTCTCTCCGGTGGTTTAAGATTTTTCACGACCGAATGCAACATCGGCGTACGATGGCGTTTCGCTCCTTGATTTCTGAGTTCACGGTCTGATGACGCTCCCAAGCAGTTGGAGTGAAAAGCCACCTGTGAAATAATATCGTTGTCAATGTGAAAATATTTGTCCGGTGGTGGAGCACTAATGACAAGAATATTGGCAAAAATTACCACGTGGCCTAAAACCCAAGAACAAACGTGGATCACTTTACAACTGAGATTGAAAGCGTTGTGCATGTATGTTGAATTTCTTTCACACCGTACGTAGCCAACCATGCTATGTGTGTGGGGGAAGGACAACAATGCATTAGCTGTGTTCGTCTGCCTGTAGAGGGAGGTCAGGATAATGCTCGTAAAGGTTACACGACATAAATGTAATGTTAGCGTAAACTAGCTTTACTATTCGGGGAAACCTGACAAAATTGATCAAAAGGTTGCGCTGTGTGACATCATCTCGTTGTGCGGCTCGGAAGGTAACATTATTCTTTGCCAATTAAATACTTCCGAGGCCAAACATGCACGTGAGAAAAGGGATTATGGAAGCCATGCGCGATGATTTTTCTTGTGCTTTTTCTCTACGATTGCGATTCTAAATGCTACTTTCCACCCGTGAGTGATTCGCCTTGAATGCAATATTAACAAACAGTGCCCCCCGTCCCCCCCCCACCAATAGCCACCTCTGCTTTATCTACACCAGTCCCAGCCAGTTTTAGCACTGCGAGAGACCGCAGTCACACGGGACCACACACAGACTGCTTTTCCACATCCGACAATCGGCGAGGAGTGGCAATGTCGAACGAGGTTTGACTCAAGGAACCAGCCTGAGCTTAAACGGCACCCTGAGTCCATCGAAGAATGTAAGCCCCCTTAAGGGAGAATCGTGGGTCTAACCTGAAGACAGTTGTCATCAGGGGATCCCCTCTCGGCGAAAATAAAAAAAATCTACAGCTGAACATTGGATCGTGCAAGGCTCTTTAAGATGTTGGTGCATGTGTAAGCGTCCAATATGCACAAATCATTGTTCCTAATTTCAAAATGGGCCCGTCAAGTATCTTGTCTTTGTATGTTTTTTGTGTTACCTTCATAATAGAAGTTTTTTTTGGTTGGACCACGAAAATATAAATATTGTTAAATCCGCCATCACCCGACACAGCCAATTAGTAGGGTTTGTCACGTAAACAAAACATGCCAATTCGTTACGAGTACAGCACACTGGTGTGTTGGAGAGTAAACCCACAACATTTACCATTCGAGTTCTGCTGTTGTACTACTTTTGTACTACTTTTTGTTATGCGATCTAACCCAAAAACCCCTTATGGATAATATTGGCCGCGAAAGTCTACTACATGTTAAACTGTGTGTTACCTCTTGACTTAAAGCTTTCGTGACTGCAGGAATTAATATTCTTTGGGTCTTTTGGTAAAGTCACGTAGATAGGTTCAAATAAAATAACAAAAAACTACGACGTTTCGATCGCAACACAAGTGGTCGTCTTCAGGAAAAGAGGGGTTTATCTTCCAAAGGCAAACTGTAGATAAGGGTTTGAAATGGGCGTAGCCCAAATGTGAGCAGCCAATGTTAATGCAAGTGGTGGTTAATGCGGTGGGCTCACACGAAATTGATTTCTCTAAGACGAAGGTACTTTGCAAGCCCACTCTCTATCAACAAAGATTCGTTCATGAAGCCATCCACATATATAGACACAGACACAATTTGAAACGAGAAAATTGATACAAACTGAGCAATCATTGGAAGGACGTAATCAACCAGTTTAAATCATAACTGGCTGTGATGTTCCCACCCTACCACCTTCCAATGTTAGTTGTGGTTTACGCCCATTTCACAAGCTTCACACCAACACAGTCATTTCGCGCGCAGACCCCTCCGTTGCGGCTCTGCGATTTCTCATTAACACGCTAATCTGTCATTAGCATGCTAATCTGTCATTAACAAGCTAATCTCTCGTTAACATGCTAATTTTCACCTGGCAGCCCTTTGATTGGTGGAAAACCAACCACCGTCGGGTTGGCTGCCCACCACTTGCTTTAACATTGGCTGCTAACATTTGGGCTACACCCATTTCAAACCCTTTTAAATAGTTTGCCTTTGGAAGCTAACCCCCCCCCCCCTTTTGCTGATGACGACCGCTTGTGTTGCGATTGAAACGTCGTAGTTTTTTTGTTATTTTTTTGAACCTATCTACATGATCTTGATTTGAAGCTATCTACATGATTTTACCAAAAGACACAGAATGTGTGTTACCTGTTGGACACCCCTCACCTCTGTGGTGCATCTGTCAAATCAGTTAAAACTGTGGAAGTTCACTGTATTTATACATTTTTGGCACCCCTCGCAGCCTTGCGCGTGTTATCCGGCCATCCTGATCACCCACGCCCTAATGCCATTCGCACAGAACATGTGTTTGGCTCAAGGAGACGTTCAGCTATTGCGCACGAACACATCCGACCACATAGGTTGTTAAAAAAATCGAGGATCTACACTTTACCGGACCACAAAACAGCAAAACCCTTGCCCATCACGGGGCGGGGGGGGGGGGTTTATGTTTTTAAAGTGGCTGCAATCAGCAAATCCACAATCCGCAAACTCAGAGGCATCAATGGTTTCACGGTTCGCAATACGGCACCCACACCCCCCTGCTTTGGTTTTACGCTGCCCTACAATGACCCGACCCATTAAACAGGAAGCATTTTGAGTGTAAAATATACTTTGTAGTGTTAGAATATAACTTTTACGGTAAATGTATAGAATGATTTGGTTTTAAATGTAGTATACAAGACTGTACACGTAGTATCCGTGCACAGTGCTGTGCAATACAGGAAGAAAAATCGATAGTGGCTGAACCTTGCTGCCTCCTCTTGACTGGAGGCTGGGAACACCGCGTGGCCTGGCACCCGCGACATGCCACTTGGGAGACAAGATGGAGACAAGATGGAGACAAGATGGAGGCAAGATGGCGCCGCGCGTGTTCTTCCGCGGCAGCGTCATCGCGAGCAGCGCAGTTACGACGAGACACAGGGGCGCGATCGACGAACTCTGTACCTCAACAGGTCTGGCGCGCAGTTGCAAAACCGCGATAGCTAAACCTGCGAGACGGAAGGATTTGCTGTACTCGATGTCGCCAATCGACCAACTGCAGTATAACGGGCAGTTGGCGTAATGAGTGAAATGTGCTTTCCTTGACTGGGATTTAAACCCATTTCATTTGCTTTACAAGATAGGCGTGCTCATCACTGTACCGGGATGGAACTTGTAACAGGGAAGGTTTGTGGATGCGGAACGTTGGGTTCTGGGTGGTCTTTAAGGTGTAAGAGTTTGGAGGCCCGGTAGAGTCATGGTGACCGAAATGTTTTCTCTTGGAATGATGGGTTTGCAGCTAATTGTACTTCTGCATCATGAGCATCCGCCTCCCCAGGTCGTCGCTGAAATTCTGGTCCTGAGCGAAAACACAAACATGATCCAACATGAAAACTCACAGCACGTCACGAGTTCGTCACCCGGTACGGCGCGCTGGATTGCAATCCCAGCGTGCCCACTGTTACATGACGGCACCATCCATGGCTACCGGGTAGCTGTGGGCATCATCGGTGTGTAGGTGGGTGGCTGTGGGTATTTGGCGTGTAGCTGTGGGTGTTGTTGTGGTGCGTTTACGAGCCTCGCCGTGGCCGGCGGTGGTTGCACGCCACAGTGGCTAGGAGATGTTAACTATCTTGCCTGGTATACAGGAGGTCGTTGGTTCAATCCTGACCCTGACGCATGCTGTATTTTTCGAGTTTGTGTCTCTCTCATCATCATCACAGTGGCTAGGAGGTGTTAACTACCTCGCCTGGTATACAGGAGGTCGTGGGTTCGATCCCGACCCTGACGCCTGCTGCTGTATATTTGGAGTATGCGTATATCTCTCTCCCATGGTTGCGTGGATTTTTCTCCGCGGTCCTCCGGTTTTTCCCTCCACATTTAGAATCAACATCGCGTGTTTCGAGTATTTGGCTGCTGCTATCGATAAGCCGCTTCGTTGACCTATCATTTGTGATCGCCAGGTTGCTCAGTGGGCTTTACCTGGTTAAAATGAAAATTGTTGAGTTTTATTGTGGTGGAGATGGTGCACGCGAGCCCTATCGCTTGGTAAGGATGGAGGGCGGGGGGGAGGGGGGGATCGTTGTGCCCACTCACCCAGCTGTGAGGTCTGTACTGGTCCAGGCGGCTGTAGAGCTGAGCTCCCTCCTCAGGGCAGACTACCATCATGTAATCGCGTGACATCGCAAACAGCTGATCCCCATTGATGCCAGTCAGGTGGGCCTGAGTCCTGTATACCCACAACAAATACGAAGATCCCCCAATATAGCCTTAACACACTGTTGGGACAAGTGCTGTTAGTTTGTTGTCCTTCCTCGCACCTCCGATTAGCACAGTTGGCTGCGTATGATGCGAAAGAAGTTCAATGTACATTCATACAAGGCTGGCATGGCACACAAGGGGTGGTTGGCTAGCACCATGCCCGGCCGTCTCTGTCTCCCTGGCGCTGATGTTTACACACTGCACCAGGGAATCAATTAACTCCGAGTCGACCTAGGGAAGACCCAGCATCAGTTCAGACATTCGTCCCTGGTGTTGGCCGTGAGCGGGAACCGAACTCGGGTCGCTGGGTTCGTAGAGCAGTACGTTAACCACTGCATTACACGCTCGTTTCATAGTTTAAAACCCAGGACAGGGGGTGGGCAACGCCAAGCGCCCTTTGGCCTTTTTCCAGCTCTGACGTTTGACGCGGGAGGTGGTGGCGGAAGTTTGTTCGCGACCCACCGATGGTGGTAGCCCTGCGTGCTGAGCCACAGCTGAACGTCGGCCGGCTGCGAGTGGATCGAGATCTCGGACAAGGAATCCCGGGTCACGTGGGTCGCGTGGCTCGCGGGCGGCTTGGCTGCCAGCATGAGCCGGTTCTGCAGCTCGATCGTGAGGAGGTCCATCTGTGTGGTGCGGCCTGGAGAGTGAGGGGGGGGAGCAAACGTGAGACACAGAACACACGCAGAGAGAGGGAGAGAGAGATGGGAGGGGTAGGTGAAGAGAGAGATGGTGACTCAGAGAGAGATACGTGCTTGTGAAGAAACTTTTTTTAAATATTTTTTTTTATTATTTGCCAGGTAAAGCTTACTGAGCCGTTAGCTCTTTATCAGAAGCGACCTGGTCACAAATGATAGCTCAACGAAGTGACTTATCATCTGGAACTTTAAAGCAGCCAAATACTCTAAACGCATGCTAATTCTGAATGTGGAGGGAAAAACTGGAGGTCCCAGAGACAAACCCACGCGAGCACTGGGAGAGAGAGAGAGAGACATGCAAGCTCAAATATACAGCAGGCGTCAGGATCGGGATCTAACCCACGACCTCCATACCTGGCGAGCGAGACAACGTCGAGCCACTGCGGCATCACTGAATGCCATGAGTAAAGCCACAACGTTGCTCATACCAAATGTACGATGGGTCGCCGTGCGGTAGCTAGTTGACTACATTCGTTGTGTTGTCTGACTGTGCGCTGCTCAGATCGAGAGAGAGACTCTCTCTCTCTCTCGACAAGAGCACCACATGAAGGTCATGCCATCTTGCTCCCTCTCGATATACTCAAATAATTTTGTAAATCTTCACTTTGCCATTCGAAAGAAGACGTCAGAACAAGTAAAGCCATTGGTGATGTAGCAACTGGTCGTTTGTTATTATTTATTGGTCATGTTTCAGATTTTTTTTTGCCGGAAATAAAATAACTCGCTGATCGATTCTGAGTGACTGAGACACCAAGAGAGATAGCGACAGAAATAGACAGCATTACATTGCTGAGCGCGTCACGTGCGATGTGTCTAGGATATATTCACCGAACCTTCTCTCATGCCGGTCATCGTCGATCTGAGGCGACGGCCAACAACAACAACGTCCTGTCTGGCCATTGCAGGTGGCTGCCTCTTTCAGACAGCCTCGCTGACCATGCCCCACGCACCCTCCGCAACTGAGCCAGCGGTTCGATTCGGAGTTCCACCACGGCTGACGAGCACAGCCCCCCCCCTCCCCCCCCCCCCTCCAAGACTCAAAATGCCAGGGCACCTAGCAAACAAACGGCGTAAAACGGTGCCTGAATGTTCACCGATTTTATGTTTGAATACTTACGGTCGAATGGGTCTTTTCTTCGTTCAGGCTCGCTGTCTGTCGTCGGAAGGACGGGACGGGCATTAGTTTCTGCTGCCGACCACGCAGTGCGCAGCACGGCAATTTATGACGCTATCACGCTAAAGCCGTGTTTCTATGCCTCTCTCAACGTCCGCATTCCTCAGCGGCGGGCAAATTGAGATCAACATTTTCACCCACGGTGGGCAAGGCGAGTGGTGAGACAGGGCCCTCGGCTTCGCCACGAACACTGATGCCACCCTCTGCCACTAGTTCCTCATTAGCGAAAACAGTGGCAATGCCACGTGACTCATGCCCCATGCGACCCAGACGTCAAACCCCAACGAGACTTCTAAATTAAAAACTAATTTCTTTAACACTCTTGTTCGCTATGTATAAAACAAGTTCAACGTACATACACACATACTACGGTGAGCACGACTCACTCCACGGTGCATTTAATAAAACTCAGCACATTGGTCAAGAACACTGTGGCCTTTAAAGGAAGGGTGTGTAGTAGACGATGTTTTGGGCAATGGCCCTTATTCAGAGTATGTAACATTTCTCTCGTAGCACAAAATATTAGTGCTAGATATAGCGGGAGTGGTGGTGGTTGTGGTTATGGTGGGTCTTAGTGGTGATGGTGGTGATGGAGATATTAGAGATGTTGATGGTATTGATGGTGGTAGTGGTGGTTGATGGTGGTAGTGCTGATAGCAGCGATAGAGGTCGCGGTAGTGGTCGTGGTGGTAGTGATGGTAAAGGTAGTGGTGATGGTGGTGCTCACAGGTTGCGTTGTCATCAAAGAAGTGCCTATCCAGTCCGGCGGAATGGGGGCTTCTGCCTTTCCTCTGCAATGAGATAATCATCATTATCATAATCATTATCCAATACCAATACCTGCCATTCACCACAGCGCCTGTGCCAGGCCAGGTGCACTTTGAGGCCACGTGAAGTGTTGAAGGCTCGCTGACAGGAGGTCTCGGGACAGATCATCATCACCACTACCAGCATCATTATCACAATCAGCACAATCATCACCATCATCATCATCTTTATCATCATCATCATCAACAACCACCATCATCATGATTAATCCCGCCACCACCCCCACTATCACCATAAACATCATCCCCACCATAAGCATTATCGTAATACTCATCATCACTATCATCATCAATATGATCAATGTCATCGTCATTATCAACACCATTGTCATTGTGATGGTCATTATCGTCACCACCATCATCATCATCTTCATCATCATCATCAACGCTGTCACCACCACCGCCCAGTTTCAAGACCATCATAATCATTGTCACTCCATAGAAAAAATGATCACCACCACCACCACCAGTGTGAATTCGACAGCAAGTGGTCTGTGAATTAGTGACACGGGAAGTGCTGGATCGTGTGATCCATGGTCTGGCTCTGGTGACCGCAATTATAAACCTGCTCCGATCACAAGACGCCACTGACCACTCACCAGGGGCTCGACCATGTTGCTGGGAACAAAGCCAACGGATCCGTTCTCGTTCTGCACCTTCCACCAATTGCTGCTGTCATCCAGGACCTGGGAGGAAGCACAGCGGCCAGTCACTGGAGGCGTTTGTGCAAGTCCTTATGTATGTTCATTTAACACGTAGGCTTTCGCAACCAATATCATCCATAAAATAGTTTTTTGGGTTCGATTTCCGCTCATGGCTAACAGCAGTGACGATTATCTGAACCGGTCCTGGGCCTCCCCTAGGTTGCCTCAGCCTCAAATTTGTACCTGGTGCGATGCGTGGACATCCCCTCCGAACCCACTCATGTGCCATTCCGGCATTCATAGGTGCGCGCTAACAGTACTTGCCCCAACAGTCTGTGAGAGCTATATGGGGGGGTCTCTGTATATATGTGCATGTATGTTCAGGTTACCACATACATTTCGTTGTGAGAATTGTACTTCAACTTACTGGTGAATTAACACAATAATCAGCACGTTAAACTGCTTGTACAAATTGCAATTTCATTCATGTGGCTATGTCGGGTGGTGAAGGGTCTTATGACACATCATTCCCAGATCATTACATGGTTCAACCCAAAAGTTAATTTTGAACATAATATTGTCTGCGACAACCTGCACGTTGAGCGAGTGGTATCGCGTAGAACTTTATTGCAGTTCTTGTATACCGCGCAGTTCGGATAGGTCTAGGCTGACTAAGAAATACGTCACTGGGTTTGTTCGGTGAAAAAAAGTGGCAACCCTTCCATTCGTACAAAAATGTTTTGTTGCATGGTCAGACAGATGTGCGTCAGGAGGCGTATTTTGCACCAAGAAAATGTAATCGCCTTTTTTTTTACTTTACGACGTCATTACACCACTGCCAACGCAGCGATTAGTTTTACCTCCAGAGTCTCCTCCCTGTTGATTGACAGTTCTGCGCTGCTCCGGGCCACAAAATCGTACTTTGCCTTCACGAACTTTACCAGCGGAGGCCGTGAGCTGATAAGACGCAACAGACGAAACACGCAAGATAGAATTGGACGTTACTGAATGAGTACGTGTTCGACTGCGTGAACTGAAACTTAAAACGTGTGGGTTTCCAGAGTAAGGAGGCGATGATTGCTGTGTACAGGGACTCCTCTACTGACAAACATTTGACTTACGAACTTTCAGAGATATGAACAAACCTGTCCGTATGTCCAGTTGCCTGTTCGGACCAAGAGTCCGTAAGTTCAACCGCCGCGCAATAGACGGCAGTGGTGGCATCTACATCTACAGAACGTGAAGAACCAGTGGCATCTACATCTACAGAACGTGAAGAGCCAGTGGCATCTACATCTGCAGAAGATGAAGAACCAGTGGCATCTACATCTACAGAACGTGAAGAACCAGTGGCATCTACATCTGCAGAACGTGAAGAACCAGTGGCATCTACATCTACAGAACGTGAAGAACCAGTGTTATCTACAGAACGTGAAGAACCAGTGGCATCTACATCTGCAGAACGTGAAGAACCAGTGGCATCTACATCTACAAAACATGAAGAACCAGTGGCATCTACATCTGCAGAATGTGAAGAACCAGTGGCATCTACATCTGCAGAACATGAAGCACCAGTGGCATCTACATCTACAGAACGTGAAGAACCAGTGTTATCTACATCTACAGAACGTGAAGAACCAGTGGCATCCACATCTACAGAAGGTGAAGAACCAGTGGCATCTACATCTGCAGAACGTGAAGAACCAGCGGTATCTACATCTACAGAACGTGAAGAACCAGTGGCATCTACATCTGCAGAACGTGAAGAACGAGTGGCATCTACATCACAGAATGTGAAGGACCAGTGGCATCTACATCTGCAGAATGTGAAGAACCATTGGCATCTACATCTACAGAACGTGAAGAACCAGTGGCATCTACATCTACAGAACGTGAAGAACCAGTGTTATCTACATCTACAGAAGGTGAAGAACCAGTGGCATCCACATCTACAGAACGTGAAGAACCAGTGGCATCTACATCTGCAGAACGTGAAGAACCAGCGGTATCTACAGCTACAGAACGTGAAGAACCAGTGGCATCTACATCTGCAGAACGTGAAGAACCAGTGGCATCTACATCTACAGAATGTGAAGGACCAGTGGCATCTACATCTACAGAACGTGAAGAACCAGTGGCATCTACATTTGCAGAACGTGAAGAACCAGTAGCATCTACATCTACAGAACGTGAAGAACCAGTGGCATCTACGGAACGTGAGGAACCAGTGGAATCTACATCTGCAGAACGTGAAGAACCAGTGGCAACTACATCTGCAGAACGTGAAGAACCAGCGGTATCCACATCTACAAAACGTGAAGAACCAGTGGCATCTACATCTGCAGAACGTGAAGAACCAGTTGCATCTACATCTACAGAATGTGAAGGACCAGTGGCATCTACATCTACAGAACGTGAAGAACCAGTGGCATCTACATTTGCAGAACGTGAAGAACCAGTAGCATCTACATCTACAGAACGTGAAGAACCAGTGGCATCTACATCTACAGAACGTGAAGAACCAGTGGAATCTACATCTGCAGAACGTGAAGAACCAGTGGCATCTACATCTGCAGAACGTGAAAAACCAGTGGCATCTACATCTACAGAACATGAAGAACCAGTGGCATCTACATCTGCAGAACGTGAAGAACCAGTGGCAGCTACATCTACAGAACGTGAAGAATCAGTGGCATCTACATCTGCAGAATGTGAAAAACCAGTGGCATCTACATCTGCAGAACTGAAGAACCAGTGGCATCTACATCTACAGAACGTGAAGAACCAGTGGCATCTACATCTACAGAACGTGAAGAACCAGTGGGATCCACATCTACAGAACGTGAAGAACCAATGGCATCTACATCTTCCGAACGTGAAGAACCAGCGGTATCTACATCTACAGAACGTGAAGAACCAGTGGCATCTACATCTGCAGAATGTGAAGAACCAGTGGCATCTACATCTACAGAATGCGAAGGACCAGTGGCATCTACATCTACAGAACGTGAAGAACCAGTGGCATCTACATTTGCAGAACGTGATGAACCAGTAGCATCTACATCTACAGAACGTGAAGAACCAGTGGCATCTACATCTACAGAACGTGAAGAACCAGTGGAATCTACATCTGCAGAAGGTGAAGAACCAGTGGCATCTACATCTGCAGAACGTGAAGAACCAGTGGCATCTACATCTGCAGAACGTGAAGAACCAGCGGTATCCACATCTACAAAACGTGAAGAACCAGTGGCATTTACATCTACATAACGTGAAGAACCAGTGGCATCTACATCTACAGAACGTGAAAAACCAGTGGAATCTACATCTGCAGAACGTGAAGAACCAGTGGCATCTACATCTGCAGAACGTGAAGAACCAGTGGCATCTACATCTACAAAACGTGAAGAATCAGTGGAATCTACATCTACAGAACGTGAAGAACCAGTGGCATCTACATCTGCAGAACGTGAAGAACCAGTAGCATCTATATCTACAGAACGTGAAGAACCCGTGGCACTAACATCTGCAGAATGTGAAGAACCAGCGGTATCTACATCTACAGAGCGTGAAGAACCAGTGGCATCTACATCTGCAGAACGTGAAGAACCAGTGGCATCTACATCTACAGAATGTGAAGGACCAGTGGCATCTACATCTACAGAACGTGAAGAACCAATGGCATCTACATTTGCAGAACGTGAAGAACCAGTAGCATCTACATCTGCAGAACGGGAAGAACCAGTGGCATCTACATCTACAGAACGTGAAGAACCAGTGGAATCTACATCTACAGAACGTGAAGAACCAATGGCATCTACATCTGCAGAACGTGAAGAACCAGTAGCATCTACATCTACAGTACGTGAAGAACCAGTGGCATCTACATCTGCAGAACGTGAAGAACCAGCGGTATCTACATCTACAGAGCGTGAAGAACCAGTGGCATCTACATCTGCAGAACGTGAAGAACCAGTGGCATCTACATCTACAGAATGTGAAGGACCAGTGGCATCTACATCTACAGAACGTGAAGAACCAGTGGCATCTACATTTGCAGAACGTGAAGAACCAGTAGCATCTACAGAACGTGAAGAACCAGTGGCATCTACATCTACAGAACGTGAAGAACCAGTGGAATCTACATCTGCAGAACGTGAAGAACCAGTGGCATCTACATCTGCAGAACGTGAAGAACCAGTGGCATCTACATCTGCAGAACGTGAAGAACCAGCGGTATCCACATGTACAAAACGTGAAGAACCAGTGGCATCTACATTTGCAGAAGGTGAAGAACCAGTGGCATCTACATGTACAGAATGTGAAGGACCAGTGCCATCTACATCTACAGAACGTGAAGAACCGGTGGCATCTACATTTGCAGATGGTGAAGAACCAGTAGCATCTACATCTACAGAACGTAAAGAAGCAGTGGCATCTACATCTACAGAACGTGAAGAACCAGTGGCATCTACATCTGCAGAACGTGAAAAACCAGTGGCATCTACATCTACAGAACGTGAAGAACCAGTGGCATCTACATCTGCAGAACGTGAAGAACCAGTGGCATATACATCTACATAACGTGAAGAACCAGTAGCATCTACATCTGCAGAACGTGAAGAACCAGTGGCATCTATATCTACAGAACGTGAAGAACCAGTGGAATCTACATCTGCAGAACGTGAAGAACCAGTGGAATCTACATCTGCAGAACGTGAAGAACCAGTGGCATCTACATCTGCAGAACGTGAAGAACCAGTGGCATCTACATCTGCAGAACGTGAAGAACCAGTGGCATCTACATCTGCAGAACGTGAAGAACCAGCGGTATCCACATGTACAAAACGTGAAGAACCAGTGGCATCTACATTTGCAGAAGGTGAAGAACCAGTGGCATCTACATGTACAGAATGTGAAGGACCAGTGCCATCTACATCTACAGAACGTGAAGAACCGGTGGCATCTACATTTGCAGATGGTGAAGAACCAGTAGCATCTACATCTACAGAACGTAAAGAAGCAGTGGCATCTACATCTACAGAACGTGAAGAACCAGTGGCATCTACATCTGCAGAACGTGAAAAACCAGTGGCATCTACATCTACAGAACGTGAAGAACCAGTGGCATCTACATCTGCAGAACGTGAAGAACCAGTGGCATATACATCTACATAACGTGAAGAACCAGTAGCATCTACATCTGCAGAACGTGAAGAACCAGTGGCATCTATATCTACAGAACGTGAAGAACCAGTGGAATCTACATCTGCAGAACGTGAAGAACCAGTGGCATCCACATCTGCAGAAAGTGAAGAACCAGTGGCATCTACATCTACAGAACGTGAAGAACCAGTGGAATCTACATCTACAGAACGTGAAGAACCAGTGGCATCTACATCTGCAGAACGTGAAGAACCAGTGGCAGCTACATCTACAGAACGTGAAGAATCAGTGGCATCTACATCTGCAGAATGTGAAAAACCAGTGGCATCTACATCTGCAGAACTGAAGAACCAGTGGCATCTACATCTACAGAACGTGAAGAACCAGTGGCATCTACATCTACAGAACGTGAAGAACCAGTGGGATCCACATCTACAGAACGTGAAGAACCAATGGCATCTACATCTTCCGAACGTGAAGAACCAGCGGTATCTACATCTACAGAACGTGAAGAACCAGTGGCATCTACATCTGCAGAACGTGAAGAACCAGTGGCATCTACATCTACAGAATGTGAAGGACCAGTGGCATCTACATCTACAGAACGTGAAGAACCAGTGGCATCTACATTTGCAGAACGTGATGAACCAGTAGCATCTACATCTACAGAACGTGAAGAACCAGTGGCATCTACATCTACAGAACGTGAAGAACCAGTGGAATCTACATCTGCAGAAGGTGAAGAACCAGTGGCATCTACATCTGCAGAACGTGAAGAACCAGTGGCATCTACATCTGCAGAACGTGAAGAACCAGCGGTATCCACATCTACAAAACGTGAAGAACCAGTGGCATTTACATCTACATAACGTGAAGAACCAGTGGCATCTACATCTACAGAACGTGAAAAACCAGTGGAATCTACATCTGCAGAACGTGAAGAACCAGTGGCATCTACATCTGCAGAACGTGAAGAACCAGTGGCATCTACATCTACAAAACGTGAAGAATCAGTGGAATCTACATCTACAGAACGTGAAGAACCAGTGGCATCTACATCTGCAGAACGTGAAGAACCAGTAGCATCTATATCTACAGAACGTGAAGAACCCGTGGCACTAACATCTGCAGAATGTGAAGAACCAGCGGTATCTACATCTACAGAGCGTGAAGAACCAGTGGCATCTACATCTGCAGAACGTGAAGAACCAGTGGCATCTACATCTACAGAATGTGAAGGACCAGTGGCATCTACATCTACAGAACGTGAAGAACCAATGGCATCTACATTTGCAGAACGTGAAGAACCAGTAGGATCTACATCTGCAGAACGGGAAGAACCAGTGGCATCTACATCTACAGAACGTGAAGAACCAGTGGAATCTACATCTACAGAACGTGAAGAACCAATGGCATCTACATCTGCAGAACGTGAAGAACCAGTAGCATCTACATCTACAGTACGTGAAGAACCAGTGGCATCTACATCTGCAGAACGTGAAGAACCAGCGGTATCTACATCTACAGAGCGTGAAGAACCAGTGGCATCTACATCTGCAGAACGTGAAGAACCAGTGGCATCTACATCTACAGAATGTGAAGGACCAGTGGCATCTACATCTACAGAACGTGAAGAACCAGTGGCATCTACATTTGCAGAACGTGAAGAACCAGTAGCATCTACAGAACGTGAAGAACCAGTGGCATCTACATCTACAGAACGTGAAGAACCAGTGGAATCTACATCTGCAGAACGTGAAGAACCAGTGGCATCTACATCTGCAGAACGTGAAGAACCAGTGGCATCTACATCTGCAGAACGTGAAGAACCAGCGGTATCCACATGTACAAAACGTGAAGAACCAGTGGCATCTACATTTGCGGAAGGTGAAGAACCAGTGGCATCTACATGTACAGAATGTGAAGGACCAGTGCCATCTACATCTACAGAACGTGAAGAACCGGTGGCATCTACATTTGCAGATGGTGAAGAACCAGTAGCATCTACATCTACAGAACGTAAAGAAGCAGTGGCATCTACATCTACAGAACGTGAAGAACCAGTGGCATCTACATCTGCAGAACGTGAAAAACCAGTGGCATCTACATCTACAGAACGTGAAGAACCAGTGGCATCTACATCTGCAGAACGTGAAGAACCAGTGGCATATACATCTACATAACGTGAAGAACCAGTAGCATCTACATCTGCAGAACGTGAAGAACCAGTGGCATCTACATCTACAGAACGTGAAGAACCAGTGGAATCTACATCTGCAGAACGTGAAGAACCAGTGGCATCCACATCTGCAGAAAGTGAAGAACCAGTGGCATCTACATCTACAGAACGTGAAGAACCAGTGGAATATACATCTACAGAACGTGAAGAACCAGTGGCATCTACATCTGCAGAACGTGAAGAACCAGTAGCATCTACATCTACAGAACGTGAAGAACCAGTGGCATCTACATCTACAGAACGTGAAGAACCAGTGGCATCTACATCTACAGGAGATTATACAACTTTTAAAGCCATTCCCGGTGTTTAGTGTACATGCCGTACAACATGTTTGGAATCGAAAGGAGTAAAGTTGGACTTACGAACAAATCGACTTACGAACAGACCTCTGGAACCTAACTTGTTCATAGGTAGAGGAGTCCCTGTACTGTAATTTTAAAAGGGTGTTTTTTTCACATTTGGCACATTTGGACCGCGACGAGTGATGTCACGGGATCTTTTACGTCCACTTTGAAGCCGATAGCCCGTAGTTTATGATCGATACGTTTGCATCATTATTATTTGGGGCTGGCAATGGATTCGGATTGAGAACCTCCGCAGCAATCGGCAAAGGCCCTGCCGCTGGGCCGCTGTCACAGTCCTGCTGGGGCCGTTCTCCAACACGGGGTGATGCACTGCTCTCTGCGATGGTTTCCGAACGGGACGCTCATGTCTCAGGAAATGACACCGGTAGGACGGTCGGAATGAAATTGAGAAAAAACGCGACGAGTAACAAAAAAGTTGGACTTGAAGGTTGGCTTCTGAGGTGACAAGGCCTTGGTGGTGGGGGAGTTGGACGTACGGTTGTGGCAGAGAAGCTGCAATGCCTGGGTTCAGCCTCTGAAAAAACACAAAGCAAACTCTTCATCAGCATCATTATCAGCTATAATTATAATTAAGAATGATGCAAATAATCGGCAGCATCTTTATTGGTTTGGGCGCAGTTTTCAATCATACAACAACCACCATTCGCCACTAAGTGGCGGTGATGTCACCACGGCACTTGTACCAGGCTAAGTGCACTTTTTCTTTCAACATATGCATACATATCGCCTTGCACAGACTGTTGGGGCAAGTATTGTTAGTGAGCACCTATGAAGGTCAGCATGGCACACGAGGGAGTGATGTGACCAGCACCACTCCCGGCCGCCTTAGTCTCCCCAGTGCTGATGTCTACACACCGCACCAGGTACTTATTTAAAGCTGAGTCGACCCAGTGGAGGCCCAGGACTGGTTCAGATATTCCGGTCATGAGCAGGAGTCGAACTCTGGTCGCTGGGTTCGTAGCGTGGCACGCTAACCGCTACACCACCGCTCCCCATACACGCACAAATACAAATACAAAGCAAAGATCCCCCACATAGCCTCAACAGACTGTTGGGGCAAGTGCTGTTAGCGAGCACCTATGAAAATACACATACATACACGCTTGCACACCCACACGAACACATCTCTATATGCACCGATATTTTCTCCCTGCAGCAGCGGATGCGGGAAAAAAAACCTACCTGGTGCCACCTGACCCGCGCTGGGGCCGGCTCGGCACGGGCCCTGGCATTGCTCGAGTTAGCGCAGTGGGAAAAACGACCCCCCCCCCCCCACCCCCGGCCTCCATCGTCATCGTCTCTCTCCTGCACTCACCTCCCCGCGATCCAGCGACCCCGACTTGTGGGCGACGGCGTGCGACGCCACTGCCGCCGCCTCTGGCGGCTCCGCGGGCGCGGGTTGCGCCGGCGGCGGGTGTGCCGGCGGCGGGTGTGCCGGCGGCGGGTGCCCTTGCGACGGATACGCCGTGGGGGGGTGCGCCGTGGAGGGCGATGGAGGTATGTGCTGCCCCGGCGTTGGCTGCGCTGGGAAGCCGAGCTGGTTCCCGATCGGTTCCTTGAGTCGGGGCGTGTAGGGGCTCGACTTCCAGCCCTTTGGCCACTCGGACCTGTGCGTGATAACGGGGCGGTACCGCGCGGGGGTTAGCGCGCCTCGCCTGCCGAATAGCCGAGGCTCCCGTGGACATTCTGCATACCTATGGCAACTGACGAGATCTCAGGATTGGATGCGTCAGTGTTATTGCCACGTGACAGGGTAGGTGAGAAGTGAGACGCCGGACGAATCCGGCCAACTGAGTTGCGATTCGTGGCCACAGCGAACATCAGTCATGGGTGATAGCAGAACCAATCCCGGTCCTCCCCACGGGCAACTCAGCCTTAAATGAGTAAATATGTGTAACGTTATTGCCTTTGCCGTCAGTACTTATTGATCATTGCAATTGAAATAGGTCGTCCAAAATTACGTATATCCAAGGCCTGATTTCGGATTGTGTGTACAATGTGTATATGTATACATGTGTGCATGTGTGTGGAGGGAGCAGTAGTGTAATGGTTGGCAACCCGAGTTCGATTCCCACTCACGACCAGCACCAGTGACGATTATCTGAACCGATCCTGGGCCTCCCCTAGGTCGACTCAGCCTCAAATGAGTACCTGGTGCAGTGTGTACAAATCGCTACTGGGTAGATAATGGCGGCCGGGCGTGGTGCTGGCCACCGAACCCCCTCGTGTGCCGTGCCGGCTTTCATTGGTGCTCACAAACAGCACTTGCCCCAAAAGCCTCTGAAGGCTATATGGGGGATCTTTGTCTTTGTGTGTTTGTGTGTGCACTTCGACAAAGGTAAAGGGCCTCACTCCGGCTTAGTCCAGGCATCTCCCAGGTTGTTCCAAAGCACCTTCTCCTGCGAAGTGAGGGTCGCCTTCATAAACTCCACCGTGATCTTCGACAGAGGAGGTGACAAGATTGTCCGTCCCACATCTGGCCCTCCAGACATCAATACCATCTGCAGCAGCATCATCGACCATCATCAACAGTCATCGTCACCATCTTAATAATAATCACCTCCATGAGTTCTATTACCACCACTGCCACAACTATAATCATCACCAACATAATCATCATCAATACCACTGCCATCACAATAACACACTCACGCGCACTCACACCATGGGCTCTCAGCATATTCCCGGCTCAGCTCAGGATTGAGCCGCTCAGGTGATTTTAAAGACGCACGAGCGGCTCAGCTGTGGCCTGCCTCAGGCTCAGTTCATGGAGATCCTGAAGCCTGGCTGGTACCGTGCTTTGAGCCGGCTCAGATTAAGCGTAGCTTTGAGCCGTGGCTCACTTGAGTCAGACCCAAGCATGAGGCCTGGCTGGGACCGTGCTTGGAGCCGGCTCAGGTTAGGCGTGGCTTTGAGCCGTGGCTCACTTGAGCCAGATCCAAGCATGAGCCGGGTAGTGACATAGAACTCTGGCCTCAGCCCTTGGGCACACTCATTCACAAACGCTATCAATCTCACCATTTGCAGCGGCCTCATGAGGTGATGGAGCATGTCGTTGGCGGGAGGATTTTTCAGTTGAAGCTTCATATCCGACTGCAAGATCAAACCAACGAAACAAAGCAACCAAGGCGTGAGATGCCAGGACACGCATCTTAAATTTTTATTTTTATTTTACCAGGTAAGGCCCACTGAGTTATATATATTTCTTTCAGGAGCGACCTGGCCATAAATGATAGCCCAACGAAGTGGCTTATTACGTGTAAAGTTATAGCAGCCAAATACTCTAAACGCATATTGATTCTAAGTGTGGAGGGAAAAACCTGAGGACCCGGAGAAAAATCCACGCAACCACGGGGAGAACTTACAAACTCCAAATATACAGGCATCAGGATTTTGATCGAACCCAGAACCTCCTGTATACCAGGCAAAGTAGTTAACATCTCACCACCGTGGCATCTTACCATGGTAAGTGTGCCACGCGTGGTGGCGTGTGCCGGTAATCTGCCAACGGTGTGGTTCGGGGTGACGGATGGTGATGGATTTCGCAAGTCACTTGGTCAGTTTATTTTGGGTAAGGCCTGTTGAGCTGAGGCGCTCTACTCTCAACGGCGACCAGGTCAAAGCGGCAAGTAGGTCGCACGGGGGGTTTACGGGGGACAGAGCCATAATGGCCTCGTGAGGTTGGCATGGGCCCTCTCGTGAACGAAGTGGAGCCCCCTGCATTTCGCTCCTGTACATTTCTACGTGATAAGCCGCTCTTGTTGAGCTATCGTTTGTGATAGCAAGGTCGCTTCTGGAAAAATAAGTCAATACCTCAGTGGGCTTTACCTGGTAAGAAAAAAAATAGTTCAGTTTTATTTGTATGTTTTTTTAAAGTGATTTGTTTATCTTTCGTATACTTTGCACTCCTATTGTATTTATGTACTGTTTGTTCGAATATTCTGACCCGCCCCTATTGGACATCTGTGAAAAAGAGCTTCTTAGCTCATCGGGTTCAGTTTAAATAAATATACTGATTCCGATTCTGAAATATTCTCTCTCCTTGCGCCTCCGCGTGCCGATAGCGCCTCTCCTCCCAACGACGGCATGTCTCGGTGGCGCGTGAGCAGGACGCGTGACACACCACCCACCGATCGGAGCCACTCCAGCTGCAGAACTCGACATCGTCGCCCCTCCCGAGTTCACTGGCAAAATGCCAACGTTGCGTTGAAAGCATGGCGAACCCCCCCAAGCGCTCGCTCCCCCCCTCACCCCTCCAGCCCGTGGGACCCTGGTGCAGTTGCATCACCTTTCGCACCTCCGATTAGCACGGTTGGCTACGTATGGTGCGAAAGAAGTTCAACATACATACGTAAAACGCCCGGTCAGATGACGGTGACGGTGCGTCGTGTGCGTTCCTGTTGCAGGATCGCGGCTGGGCTTGTGGGGGGGGCGAGTGAACTGACCGCTAAGCAGTGCTGTGTGAGCCAACTGCAAGGAAAGCGTAATGCTGCCCCGTCTCACCAGAAGGTTAAGAAGGAGCTTGAATTTCTGAAAGTGGTCTGTAAACTCTTCTTTGGTGGGAGGCCTGGCTCGTAGCGTGAGCACTCCCTCTGTGCACACACACAAAGGCAGCAATAAAAGATCCAGATTTAGGCACACATGTGCTATTAGCGAGCATCACGCTTGGCATGCAAAGCAGCCTGCGTCCAATCACAACCTCCCTTAATGTTCCTTGCCCAATGCTTCTGTAGTGTTTATAATGACGAATACACTTCTCATGAGGCACACTCTGTGTAACTGTAATACTTCTCTTACACAGTCCTTAACACACAGAGGGGTATACGGTCCCCTCACCCGATACCCTAAGAAGGTACAGCCTCTGGACTTAGCGTGACCTACACACAGGTCTCTTCATAAGCTAAGGAGGTACAGCCTCCTATCTTGGCGGGACTTACTCTCAGGTCTAACGCTATCCTAGAGTCCTCCAGCTGAGACCTAGGGGAGGCTATCTGACCCACCGCTGGCCCGGCGGGTCTTGACCACTGGATACGCCGAGCCTTAGCCCTCAGAAGGGCTGGAAGGCTGGGTCCAGGGTCCTGGCTATCTTCAGCCCGGGCTTCAGCCTTCGTGTAGGGAGAGAACTCCCCGCGCTCTGTGCGGTCACCCTTCTTATACCCGTTTGTGGCCAGGTGTAACCAATCACACATTCCCACGTGGAACTCTCTGATTGGTTCTTACCAAACTGTGGCTACGATCCACTTCACCTCGTCTGACCCCAACCGTTATTCACACAGAGGTAACGCTGCACTGCCCCTTTTGATACCTAGTGGCAATGCAGGTTACCGAACAGTGAGTAGTTAACACCTCTACACTTCGATCAGTTCCAGACTGCGAGTTTCCCTTCATTCCTGCTGAGGTAGTTTAATTTTAGTTGAGGTGGCACAGCAGTCAGCCGGTTACAAGACGGATTGGCTACTTCTTCCAACCTTTTGGGGCTCCGCAAACCCTCACAGGGTCAGCTTCCCCTTACCCCATGATGCTGTTTAAGCTTTGGGACTCCATCTGTCCCTGCGCACAAGACAAAAACACTCCCCATATAGCCTTAACAGACTGTCGGGACGAATGCTGCAAGCAAGCAGTAGCACCTGTGAAGGCCGCCACAGCCACGCCTAGACGCATTTTGTCTCCCCAGTGGCAATGTTTACACACCGCGCCGGCGTACGCATTTGCGGCTGAGTCGACCTAGGGGAGGCCCAGCACCGGTGGCCGTGAGCAGGAATCCAACTCGGGTCACCGGGTTCATAGCGCAACACGCTAACCGCGACGCCACCATTCCCAATGCATATATGCACACACGCGCACACGCACACACGCGCACACGCACACACGCACGCACGTACGCAGGCACGCACGCACGCACACACGCACGCACACACACGCACACACACGCACACGCGCACACACACGCACACACGCGCACACACGCACACACGTACACACGCACACACGTACACACGTACACACGCACACACGTACACACGCACACACGTACACACGCACACACGTACACACGCACACACGTACACACGCACACACGTGCGCGCGTCCACTCACCGCCAGAACTCTTTTTTTTTCCCTTGGACTTTTTCTTCTTCCTTTTCCCCATTTCGTTCAGTGCCTCCTGGATTTTTTGCAGCCTTCGGACAAATGCCTCGATCTCGTCGAGCAAGCTGTTCATCAACTTCTGCACTCACATCATCACCGTCGTCGTCAAAAACATCATCATCATCATGATCATCGTTGCCTGTAGCAGTAGCATCTTTGTCGTCAACAACAGCAGCAGCGGCAACATTATTAGCGATATCCCGTCGTCATGTCCTGCTTTAGAGGCGTTCGCCATGCCACGTGCCAATCAAGCTGAAAATGTTGTAATCCCATCAAAGCAGTTGAAATCCTGAGTACATTTTGGTTTCAGTGCCATTCTCATAGCGCAAGGTTATCACGCAGGTGGCGTTTTTCAGACGGTGGTCGTCTGCCGTAGTTACGAAGTAGGGGGTGATGTTGCTATGTGGCCCTTGCCGAGTTGGTAATTTGCGGTGTGATTTTTCAAATTAAAAAAATTAGGACCGCGGCGCCGGCAAAACGTGGGCTGCGCTCTTTCGAATGACGTCACCGGATCGGTCAACGTCCAGTGTGAAGCAAGGCGAGGCACGCAACGGTATTCACGGTGAATACACCCACCCGCGATATTAACCAGGGTGGCCCACAGGGCTCGAAGCGTGAACCTCAAAGTTGAATTGTCACGGTAAACGTCACCATCGCCGTCGTCGTCAGAACTGCAGCCTCACTCACCAATTCGTTGTCTTGCGACGATGGGGGTGGTTGCATTCCTGCACAGGTGCATACACACACTCAAGGTTACACATTTGCAACAGTCTGGAGTTTTCCTTGGCTTGTCACCTGTCCTAGTGTTGAAGAAGAAGAATTCAAATAAACTATAAAAATATTTTTTTTATTTTACCAGGTAAGGTCCCGCTGAGCTACATATCTCGTTTTCAGAAGCGACCTGGCCACAAATGATAGCTCAATGAAGTGGCACACCATGTGGAAATTGATAGCAGCCAAATACTCTAAACACGCATTGATTCTAAATGTGGAGGGGAAATCGGAGGACCCGGGAGAAAAATCCACGCGACCACGGGGAAAGAGAGACACGCAAACGCCAAATACATGACAGGCATCAGGGGTTGGGATCAAACCCATGTCCTCCTGCCTACCAGGCAAGGTCGTTAACGTCTCGCCATCCTGGTGTGGCCGGGGAAGGGGGCTTGAACCACGGACGTCTGAAATAAGCGGCAGCCAAGGTGCTCATCGCTCCAGGTTCGGAAATGCTACAAAAAGTCCGCCCAGGGAATTTTGTCAACCCGGATGAGGCCCTCGCTGTGAGCGGAGAGAGATGGGTACCTTGGTCCATGAAGGGCATGGGCGGGCGTGAGTGCGAGCCCCGTGATCGGCCCTGGGACAGCTGCGCGGAGCCATCGTCCGTGCAGTCCTCTCGAATACCCATCCGCTCCAACTTCTCCTTGTTCAGCCTGGAAACGCCGATCGGATCACATGACTGGGGTGCGGTTTTGGCATTTGTGCCATTGTTCCATTGCTAGCTTGTCGCGAAGGAAGGCGATTTGTTTTCACGGATGGGTACAGTCTGCGGTAGTTTCATAGCTCTACCCAATCAGGTGATTTATTTTTTTTTCCCGTCAAATTTGGAGCGTGACACTGGCACTCATTGTCTGCTCTTGTTCCAACGACGCCAGAGGGACCTCTTTAATGTCTGCTGCAAAGCTGACGGTGCATATTCATGCACGAGTTGGCTACTTACGGTGCGAAAAAAGTTCAACATACAAACGTACAATAAACCTGCAGTGTCGTGAGGATTCATCAAATTGCTGAAGCGTATATGTATGAGCGATTGTTACCGGTCATCGAGTGCTCACCGTAACGTCTCAGGCCTTATCTTCTTGACTGTGCTGCGTGCATCTGCAACTCCGGATTCGATGTCCGACTGGATGATGTTAGCCTTTGGAGGGCGGACACACAGACAGCGTTAAGAGCAACGGGAATCAACCATCACGCGCGACAGCCACTGCAACAAAACACAATTGCAAAAACCATAACAAGCACAATAACCACAACAACACCACCCCGCTACCACCACCACCACAAAACAGCCAGCACACATCAACCGCCATGACTACCGCAACAACACTTCCAGCATCTAACAACAATCACAAGAACACTTCGCTACCACCACCACCACCACTACAAAACACACAGCACATGTGACATGTGATCAACAACACAACTACCACAACAACAACAGTCACAATCACCACCACCGCTGCCGAACAACGACGGGCGGGTCAGCAAGTCACTGCGACAAGATGTGCATGAAACGGGGTACCTCTGCTGTCTGGAAGAGGTAAATATCGGGGAAGTCCTCCTGCGGGTCTTTCAAGATGAGCGCCAGCAGGCGGCCAATGCTGGCGTCCCCAGCCTCCACCTTGCACTGCTGAATCCACAGGATGTCGAACTTCTCCAACTGCTCCTGGAAACACACAAATGCCATCCCCCCACCGACTCGTTAGCCCCGAAGAGTGCCGGGGGCGCATTCTGTGAGCGAGAACCTGCTAAGAGGCCAGCGTTGTGGCACGATGAGCGTAGGGTGTCACGGTGGAGAGGTGTTAACTCCCTTGCCTGGTATGCAGGAGGTCGTGGGTTTGATCCCAACCCTGACGCCTGCTGTATATTTGGAGTTTGCGTGTCTCTCTCCCCGTGGTTGCGTGGATTTTTCTCTGGGTCCTCCGGTTTTCCCCTCCACATTTACAATCAACGTGCGTTTAAAGTATTTGGCTGACATAAATGTCCACATGATAAGCCGCTTCGTTGCGCTATCATTTGCGGTCAGGTCGCTTTTGAAAAAGAACTACATAGCTAAGTGGACCGTACATGGCTAAATAATAAATAGTTAAGTTTATTCTTGATTTGAAGCTATCGTGACTGCAGGCATCCATACTCTTTGGTTCTTTCGGTAAAGTCTCGTAGGTATAAAAATAATAGATCAGTTTATGTGTTTGCCAGACCACTAAAGGGAGAGGGCTTTGACTGGGTGGTTGAGGTTACCTTGGTGTGACAGTCCAGCAAGCTGATACTGTTGGGCTCCACCTGCAGATACATCTCCTGGACCCAGATCCTGCCCGTGGTGTTGAGAAAGACGAGGCGTTTCAGCGCATCCTTCACCGTGACCAGGCCTTCATCCGGGTCCAGGATGATTGTCACCAGGTGCTGACAACCACGACCAAAAGACAAACCCAGCAAGCATGTTAGCCTCAAGGTGAAACACTGCATTTTTTAACACATACGTATTTTTTTTTATTTTAAACGATCATTATTTTACCAGGTAACGCCCACTGAGCTATATAGCTCTTTTTCAGAAGCGACCTGGCCACAAATGATAGCCCAATAAAGCGGCGTATCACGTGGAGAATTTATAGCAGTCAAATACTGTAAACGCGAGTTTCTAAATGTGGAGGGAAAAACCGGAGGACCCGGAGAAAATTCCACGCGACCACGGGGAGAGATAGAGAGAGAGACGCAAACTCCAAATATACAGCAGCAGGCGTCAGGGTATATAACCCACTACCTCCTGTATGTCAGGTGAGGCAGGTAACATCTCGCCAACTGGTGTGCCACGACACACCAGTGTGCCGTACAGACGTCCCAGGCGTGCTTCGGCATATTCTGGAATTATAGGGAAGAACCTCACGATACTCTTTGGTTCTCTCGGTAAAAAGTCACGTAGGTAAAAAAAAATAACAACAACAGATCACGACGTTTCGATCGCAACACGAGCAAGCGACATCAGCCGATTTTTCTACCCACGTGACTTTTCCGAAGGAACCCAAGAGCATGGATTCCCGCGGTCCCGAAAGCTTCAAATCAGGAAACGAACCTCACTGTTCGCAAGCGAGGACAGATGAACTCTCCGCGCCGTTCAGTGGCTGATTTCAGCTCCCGTCTGTATCCCGCCCTCCCCTATCCACCGATCGCGGAGCTGTACGGCGGACGGCCGTCAACCCCCCCCCCCCCAAGCCGGGCTCTCTGAACTCCGTCTGTCGCGAATGCGCGGTTGTGCACACAGCCGAGTGTTGGTGGATTGCACAAATGTTGTGAAACCCTCTTACGAAGGGGGGATTGAGGAGCCATACCACGGCTTGCCAGCAGACGGCGGTACAGCAAAATGTGGACTGATGTCAATAGTCCCTTCCGCATGACTGTCTTGTCGCTTGTTTCATTAATTCTATCTCTTCGAGAGTGAGCGAACACTGTGCAGCGGATTACAAGTTAAAATTATTATTCTGCGCAGTATGTATCGTGTTTTTGTGTGTGTGTGTGTATCTGTGCACGACAAACTGGCTCAATCGAGTTTTTGGCCACGATTTTAAACCCGCTTAGATTGACGTTTCCCACCATCACGTGCTCGTTCTCAAATGTGTATATATATATTTATAACGGGCAGGGTGGGATTAATGCAAGGCCATAATTATCATATATATTGGGGGACACATCCCCCCCAGTATTCAAATATGCTCAAAATGTCCCCCCCAATATATTGCTATAAAATATATTTATGTTTAGATGATTGTGGTTATGGCTGTACTTTATTAATCCCTAATCTCTGCCATTACATACAATGAAACAAGAAAAGGTATAAAAAATCAGCAATGTAATACAATACACTATTAGACATTATTGTAAAAAAAAATCCATCCCATGTGTAAGTGAATTTTTTAATATTTTAGGCAGGAAATTAGTTTTCAAATTTAGATATTTTTTCTGGGGGGGGGGGACCCCCAGACCTCCTGTAAGATTTGGTCCCCCCAATTTTGACTCCATGGCTACGGCCTTGGATTAATGCCCCCCCCGCCGGTTATGCCTTTCCTTTCAAACAGCCGCACGTTACTCATTCACGAGCTTCAAAGCGAATTTGTCTCCTCGCGAAGGGGACGGTTGGGTGCGATGGAAGTATTTGTCGCCACAGGAGTAAAGGTGGTGGTTTATTGTGCCCGTGAAGGGTGGCGAGGCGTTGTGCGCAGAGCGGGGGGGGGGGGGGGGGGGTGCTGCCCACCTCCACGTGGTACTGTGACGTCTCTCCTTGCAACGTGCCTCTTCCAAGCTTCTTCCTTTGTTCTGCAACACGAGAAATCACCGTCGTCACCATCATCATCATCAAGGCATTCATGATTCTCGTGATGTGTTAGAAGCGGATTTAAGCGGCACTCCATGCTGTTTCTCCACGTTATTGGCACTGATTACTGTTTTTTTCACGCAGGAAAGTACGGGGATGGGCACCTGCGTTCGGCTAGCGGCAATCGATTTGTATCGAGATATTGGTACTGGTATTGTTAAACGCACTGTTTTAATAACAGTGCCAAAGCTGACCGAGAAATGTGTTCGGGTTTGGTCTGCAGCGGAAAAGGTGGCAATCCTAGAGGCAATCTGGACGGTCTCCTTCATCCTTGGGGTTACTGCTTTCTTGAGACAGAGAAGCTTGAGTGCATTGTAGGCCTGAGCTGCTGTACTGCCATCGCAACCCCCCCCCCCCTCCCCCCTCATTACAGTCAGGTACTGAGCGAGGTTGTGAGACACAATGCGTTCCCTTCACCAAACTAAACTCTTATACATAATTTTTACTTTACCAGTTAAGGCCCACTGAGCTACATAGCTAGTTTTCAGAAGCGACCCTTGCCACACAAATTGAAGGCCCAACGAAGCGGCTTACCGTGTGGACATTTATAGCGGCCAAATACTCAAAACGCGCGTTGTTGATTCTAAATGTGGAGGGAAAAAAACTGGAGGGCTCGGAGACAAATCCACACAACCACGAGGGAGAGAGAGAGAGAGATGCAAACTCAAAATAACCAGGCGTCGGGGTCGGGATCGAACCCACGACCTCCTGCTCACTAGGCGAGATGTTAACAACCCACACAGGCCACCTGGGTCCAGTATGGCCGAATCCCCCCCCGCCACAATTGACGCACCCAAAACAAACTAACACCCGGTGATGAATTCACGGTGGGTGAGCTGTGGGTGACGATTGGGGGGGGGGGGGACGACGACACACACTCTGCAGTTGAGCTCTGTCGAAGAACTCGCTCACCGTAAATTGTCTTTGCGCTCTTCTCAGGATAGGAGGCACCTCCGCCGCCGCCCCCAGGCGTCCCGTAGCCCCTGCGGCACGAGCAGACGCGCAAGCACCGCGCATATCGGCCTTCATTCTGCACCACTCAAGCAAGTAAACTCTTGGTTGGTTTTGACCTTCAGGGTCTCCTCAGTACTCCAATCCCTCCCACTGGCTCCAAATCCAATGCTGAATCAAGACCAAAAGCCCTACTCACCGTCTTTAAGATGCATGGATGCCCTCTCTCCTAACTCTTCTCTCTCATCTCACTCTACCTCCGTCCACGCAATCTCTGCTCCATCAACCAAAGATTTCTGTCTCAACCCCCAGACAACTATCGCTCTGTGGGAGGTCGCTCATTCTGCTCTGCTGCCCCCACCGTCTACAACCCCCTTCCCCCAGTCATCAGTGCGGCTGGATCCCTGATGCCCCAGTTCAAGTCCGGACCCAGGAACTGCCTCTTCTCCTCTGCCTATGCCTGGCTGCCTTTGTCTGTAAAGTAAACATGCCCACTGTTTCTCTACATTAATGCATTTAGATGCGACACAAGTCCACATTGCACCGCATCAGCAGAGCCGAGCTTGTCAAATAATAATTGCCGGTTTAGGGGCATTTTTCTATTCGCGTATTTAAATTGTCAAAGTTCGATCCATGATGGCAGCACACAACGGCCTAATCCTTTCGAGTAACGTTTCCATGACGTCCGGAGACATTTAATGTCCACCGCGAAGCAAACAGAGCTCATCTGTTACGGTTCACACTTAGCCGCGGGCATTAACCAGGGCGGCCGTGCAGAATCGAAACCGCGAGTCTCCGGCGACGCGCTGCCGCTGGGTCCGTGTCACCGATTCAGTAACTGAACCTTACACCCCACCGCCCCCCCCCCCCCCCCGAGGTGGTCGCGACGACACGGTTGGTTTCACGAACGCAGTGCGGCTTAACAAGCCCGGGAGGCGGCCGTAAATGTGGTCCTAAGGTTGCCTCGATAAGACACGCAAATAGCGCCCGTGACAAAGTGCAGCGCCTCTAAATTTAGCGAGATCTGACGCGCGTGCAGGCGCGGACACGGCGAACGCCCACGAGCCCCCTCGGTTAAGCCAAGTCCACGCCCGAGCGATCGGTTGCGTGCAACTGCATCGCTCGTATGGTGGCGGGCGGGGGGATGGGGGGCGTCTCTGCAACCGGTTGAGAGGAGTTGCGCAACCGGTTGCACGCAGTGGAGACAGGCTCGAACTTGTCAAGCGTCCATCTGACCCGGCAATTTGTCGGATTTTGCGTGGCTTCGCTTCCGTAGCCACGGCGGCCGTGGCGGCTATGCAACTCGGCCTGTAATCCAGCCCTGGGTAGGCGAGGGTCGGCGGTTCATCGCACGAACGCTGCGAAATGCCCTTCCCGTGCATGTCAAGGGGATGCCATGCGCCGCCTCGCCAGGAGAACTCGCTACACAAAATGTGGATAAGTAAATTCGGTCCTTCAGCCTGTTCCCCTATAACGCGGTTGCTGTTGCCTTCCTGAAGAACACCGCGTACAACATAAGGTGGAGCACAGTCCGCGATAGCACGTGAGATGTGCACGCAGACCGAGCAGTCTGAGGCACGTGGGTAGCATCTAGGAACATCCAGCAGCATCCCGCCTTGTGTGATGCTATGCCCACGCAGCCGTACGACCACTCATTCCTACTCGCGCAACGTAGTTCTGTTCACTCAATCGCGTTGCATCCAATTCACATCAGCGTCATGAAAAAATATGTTCCAGAATACATTCATAGCGTTATATCCAATTCGCGTTTTGAAAACCACACGCATTATAGGAGAACAGACTGTGTCTGCACGGGGATAGAGTGTTTCCCCCTCGCACGCGTGGATTTTCTCCGCGTGATCCATTCCCTCCAACACGTATAAACACTCGTTATTTGGCTGAAAACATTTAAATCACTGAGGTGTGGACCCACCTCTTGGAGATACAGTATTTAATAACAATTGCATTTTGAACACGTAGGCTTTCGCAACCAATATCATTCATAATACAGGTTTTTTTTTAATTAGATCGCGTAAATATATATGTGTCGTTAAACCCCCACCAATAAGTAAGGTTTGTGACGTAAACAGAACATGACAATTCGTTACTAGTACAGCAGCACACCGGGTTGTGTGTTGGGGAGCCAAGCCACAACATAAATGTGGCTTGGCTCTATATTTTAATCATTAACGAATAGTTTATTTTTTTCTATCTACGTGACTTTACCTAAAGAAACAAAGAATATGAATTCCTGCAGTCACGAAAGTTTGAAGTCAAAATTTATACTTCACTAATTCAAAGTGAAAAGAACTAAGAGTCCCAGCTCAATACGGGGCAGTGAATATCTCCCTTGACATTGCTGAGCCAGTAAAATTCCATGTTCCTATGCCAAGTACCATTCTTCCCATAAAGTGGTACTCGTTTATCAATCCCAAAAATCATTATGGTCCGACTCCCCGAGTGGGATTTGAACTAATTTCCTTCTGCTTGTCAGTTGCATGTCCTAACCCCCAGTGGCACTGAGACATTGGAAATAGTTGTCGGTCCACTGCTGGATGAATGCCTCCCCATGTCATGCCAGTCATGGTGGTCATGTGGCCATACTTCACCACGGTGGTCAGTGTGTGTTGGTGAAGGAGGGGGACTCCAGATCCCGATCACAACTTATGGAAGCCGTGGATGGGAATCAAACGTAGGTAAAGCTCATGGTTTCAGTCTGCTAACATCTGAGGCGCCACTCCTCCCCCACACCGCCGACCCTTACCCAAGTCTGACATGTCTACGTTTATTACCCAAGACTATTTATTAGGTGCTGTGATGAGGCACTTGTTGTATGGTGGAGATAGGCGGTTGAGAGGCAGAGATAATTCGTTTCCAATGATAAGTTGCGATTAAGACAAAATGGGTGGAGGTGGGTTCTGGATAATCCTGCTTCCACCTGCGCGAGACTGCTTACGAGATAACGCAACGGCAATTTCAACTTGTGACGTGCGACACAAATTTGCTCGCTCTAGTCACCACAGGCACGTGGAAAGGTGAGAAGGCACACCATTCCCCCCAAGCTCTGCGGTCCTCTGTATACGGAGATGTTTTCAGCCGAATAATGAGCGTTCACATGTGTCGGAGGAAACCAGAGCATCCGGAACACACACACACACACGTGTGCGAGGGGACAACACTCTATCCCACACTGATGGGACAGGTGGAGATTAGTCCTCTCTCCCCATGCTTGCGTGGATTTTTCTCCAGGCCCTCTGGTTTTCCCTCCACATTTAGAATCAACAACACGCGTTCAGAGTATTTGGTTGCTATACATTTCCACATGGTAAGCCACTTGCTCTGTTAAAAGATTTCACCTGGAAAATTCCCTTCGGGCAGAACGTCACAATTTATAAAGGTGTCCTGCGTGGCAGTTGCACACTTACATAGCAAGCGTGTGATGTCGTGCAAACAAGCATTTATAATCGATAATCTACACCGTACGCTATCTGAATAAATTCGAAATGCCCCAAAAAACACTTGAGAAAATTCGTAAAATTTGCCATTTTTACTGAAATTCTGGCTATTTAACTTTTTTTGAAATAACTATCATTATTTAAAAAAAACAATAGCGGTGTATGTAATCTTTTTTATTTCTATTAAAGTAAAAGAAATTAAAGTGGATTTTTAGGTGGGATCCTGCCCCACCCGATTTCCGTGACCTTTCCGTGAATAAATTGTTAGTTCGTGCCACTCGGTTATGAATTTAAGGACAAGCATTCACCCGAACGAAACCACAGCCCTGGCAAATGGGAAAGGAGCGTGCTGCGTTCATCGGCAACGATGATGGGTCTGGGTGAAGTTCCTCCCTTGCTGCCTATCATCCACCATTTTTTTCACGGCTTTGCCCATCACCAATCCCCTCTGCATGATGTCTCTCTTCGCATCATCAATCCAACGCGTTATCTCTCTCTCTCTCCGCCTCTGCCTCTTCTTATCCTCGATCTTTGTAAGTGTATCCTAGAGTGGTGTGCATCACCATATTCTGGTGTGCATGGCCACATTTGGTAGTCTTGTCAAGGATCCCTACCGTGGGTTTATTCGCCGCAAATGCCACGCGCCGCCTGCTTCACAGTTGAACGTTCAAGATCCCCATGACGTCACTCGGAAACGAGTAGGCCGCGTGTTATCAGCGTCACGGTCCAAATTTGCCACATTTTTTTTATCTACCTGCAAATTATCTCGTCGAATAGAGCCACAGTGCTATGGCTACACAGCGCCCCAACTGTGAAAACTTAGCAGAACCCTCCTGATAATAAAAAAAAAATCGTCTTCGGACAGTGTGTCCACGCATGCACGCACGTTGAACTTCTTTCGCACCGTACGTAGCCAACCGTGCTAATCAAAGGTGCGGGGGCAAGGTCAATCAACTGAACACAACAACAAGCAGTTGTACAGAAATGAGGAGGATACCAGAGCCACTTGAAGGATGTTTTGGGGGAGAATTTCTGTGAAAGAATTGCTTCCGCGGGTCGTTCTCTGGCACAATGGACACATTCCTCTGCGACATTTCCAAACGGATTATAATTTCGATCGCAACACAAGCAATTGTCATCAGGTGGTTGTCCGACCTGATGACGATTGCTTGTGTTGCGATCGAAACGTCTTGATCTATTATTTTTCTACCTACGTGACTTTACCGAAAGAACCAAAGAGTATGGATTCCTGCACTCACGAAAGCTTCAAATCAAGATTGGATTATAATTTGTCTCATGACACCATGACCTTGAGAGCACAGCTGGAGTGATTTTTTGTGTGGAAAATATACAGGAAGCGCCGGGTGGCTTGTAGGAATATAATTTCATGGTCCGCATAAAAACAACGAATTCAAATCATCGGTACGTTTTGGATATTCTCGGAGCGTCAGGGCTATCGCAAAGGAATGGCGCTGCTGTGGTTTCACATGCAAGTATCGTCTGCAGCAGCTCCGCAGTAGGGGGGCAATGTTGCTGCGTGGCTTTAGCCAATGGGGCCAGTGGAGCGGTTGTGGTTGAAGGTGGGGGGCAGACGGCTAAGGAGAATGAACTTTGGGTGGGCCAAACCGATGTCCGGCGATGGAGGGCACAGACACAGCACCCACCCCTCAGCACGAAGCCTGTTTGAGACCCACTGAGGCTGCCTTTCCTGGGTAAAAATACAAGTTAATAATGCACCACGCACAACGCTAGCCCTCGCCATTTACGGCATTTACGACTGGGGCCTCGTGCTGCCGTTGCCTTAAGAACTTTAGTCCGTCGCGTGGAAGGCGTAAGAGCGAGTTGCGAGATAGCGTATCTCCAAGTACAGAGGGATAGCCGCGTGTAGATCTCGCTCTGCTTCCATGTTTTACATCAGGGCACTGCCTCAATCGGGACGCACGGGGCAAGATTTGCATCTTGACAATAAAAAGAAAAAAAAAACCCACGCCTTGCTCGGCGATACATCTCGCTCGCTCTCCCCTGCGTCTGCGGATTGCATGGAACGTTGGGTTGGTCCAACGTTGGCTCAACGTTGACTCAATGGTTGCAATCACGTGGCCAACGTTGGCCCGACATTGGCATGTTTCACCGGGGCGCTGTCTGGTACGATGTCCGACGTTTCGCCGCACGTGTTGGGAGCTTCTTCGGGAAACACGGGAGAACCCAGCAGCACATCGCACAGAGTTGTACAGTGCTACTGTGACAAAACCTATGCTCACCCCACCTCGTTGTCAGTCTTGGAAAGATGTTGTTTGTGTTGGGTATGAGTTCTACTACTATATGGGTACATGTAACAATCCACTCACCCATCCCCCCTTTGAGCACCCCCCAACCCCGCTCCCGACTAATGGGCACAGGGTGGGGGTGGGCTCAGAAAATATTCCATGAGAAATTGAGCCCTGGGTTACAGGGTTGCAATTAAATTGATGAACGAATCAATCGTTTGAGCTTATTGGCTTTGTGGTGATCGCACGACCGGTGAGAACGGCGTTGGATAATTTGTGTGGATGTAGCTGATCCTCGGTGTGGATCGGTGGTGCAGCGGTTTGGACACCACTGCACCCGGCGACCTGAGTTAGATTCCCAACCAGAGCTAACATGGGTGCCGTGTGATATCTGAACCGGCATGGTGAAGTATGGTCAAACAGCCTCCATGGATCGACGCAGCTTTGAGAGCCCTTCATCCAGCAGTGGAATTCTGCTAGCAACATCATCTCAGAGGTCTTGTTATAATTAGGCGTGTGATGGTACGACGATAAATCTAATTTTCGATTTAAAGCTTTCGTGACTGCAGGGATTCATCTTCTTGGTCCTTTCGGTAAAGTCACGTAGAAGGGAAATAAAATAATAAAAATAAAACATAATCAAATGAAATTCTCACGACGTTTCGGCCACAACACAAACAGCCTTCCTCAGGTGAAAAAACAAAACTGTCGGAAAGACAGCGCTCCAATGAACACTGCTAAGCTTGGCAGCTTGGCAGTGCTAAGCTTGGCAGCTTGGCAGCTTAGCAGTGTTCATTGGAGCGCTGTCTTTCCAACAGTTCTGTTTCTTCACCTGAGGAAGGCTACTTGTGTTGTGGCCGAAACGTCGTGAGAATTTTATTTAATGTTTTAGTTTTTATTATTTTATTATTTCCCTTCTACGTGACTTTCCCGAAAGAACCAAGAATATAAATCTAATGTTATGTTTATGATACGCCCAATACAGAGCTGTCCAGCGGAGGGGCCAAATGGGGATCACCAAGAACCTCTGAGTGGTCAAGTATGGCCAAACGTCCACCATGATCGCCGTGGCATATGGGAGGCCTTCATCCAGCAGTGGATTGATAAAGGCTGAATGAAACATGACCTTTTAAAATGTGAAAGACACGGAGGTAAGGTAGTGTGTGACAAATGTGCAATATTTCTCTGGGGAAGATTAACAACAGACATGCACCAAATGATTTTCGAATTTAATATTTAAAATGTAAATACGTTACCCATGGCCACCAGGGTATGAAGCCATTGTTGCTCCTGAAAAGAAAACAAAAGCAGATATTGTAAATAAATGACAAATGGACATGCGGCGAATATGCACAGCATACTCGGGATGAGTTTCACATTTTTTAAATATCGGATTATGGGTTTTCAGCATTTAGTTTTGAAAGCACAATTTAGGATGTCAGATGTTTGGGGTTTTGGGATTACATCACAGAGTATAATACGTGTCGTGCTTACAGAAGTCACGTCACGTGACACCACCTTTCGGCGAGTAAAGCATGAAAGGGACGCAGTACACGCCGTGGCAATTTCCCGTGGTGTCCACGTTTTCGGATGAATCCACAACAACATAGTTTTTGGACCGTCCGAATTTTCACATCTAGACCTGATTTTTGTATCTATATATTTTTTTATCAATCCAAAAAGTGTATGCAAACACATCACTAACATATACCATTTTCAGTATTCACATAATTCAAAACCTTGACTCATGGGAGCTTCTCTGGACGTCTGTGAAAAAGAGCTTCATAGCTCGTCAGATTTCTCCAGGGAAAGATTAAGATTCTAATTCTGACTCTGTTACGTAATACATTGCAGCCACGGGTGGCTATGCACGCTTGTAATCCAGCACTTTGGAGGCGAGTATTGGGTGGTGCATTGCAGACGTTCATGAAACTCCCTCCCTACCCGTGGGTGATGGCGAGGGCACCATCTCCCGGCTTGCCACAGTATTGCAGTAAATTGGGTGGCTAGGAGATGTTAACTATCTCGCCATGGTACACAGGAAGTCGTGGGTTCCGTCTTATTTGGAGTTTGCGTGTCCTCCCCGTGGTCGCGTGGATTTTTATAATCAACATTTCGTTTTGAGAGTATTTGGCTGCAATACATTTCCACGTGTGAAGCTACTTTGTTGAGCTACCATTTGTGGCCAGGTCGCTTCTGAAAAAGAGTTATTTAGCTCCGTGGGCCTTACCTGGTAAAATAAAAAAGTTTAGTATTTATTTCCACCTGTATTCCATCTGTTATGGGGATTCAGTGTTACCTTTCCCCCCTCCCCCCCACTCCGGCCTCACACGGGTGAGTTTTCTCCGGTTTTCTCCCACGTCTATAATAAGTTGGTCAAACATCCCAATACGAGCCTTTTGCCCGTCCAAGGACGGGTGTATTGCAGTAAATCTGAAACTTGCAAGCGGAAAGCAGACCTCGACGTGATATTCATTGCATTAATGCGTGTGCAATTTGTAAGGGCGCGATGACACAGACCGATTTCATTTTAAGGTTATAATCCCTTGTTCATCGTGACGTCCTTTTTACTTTGATGTCTCAACAACAGCGTTACGGAGATCACGTGACGTGAGGGTTCTGCCTTTGTAGTGAGGGTTGTCAGTTGACGCCGAGGAGGGGGGAGTAGGCGCCTCGCCCCCCCCACGTGGAGTGACGTCACCCGCTAATTATTATTAATGGTGGGGGTGTCCATGTGGAGGGCGTCACCTTATCATGATTATTAATGAGGGGGGCTGTTCGATGTGGAGTGACGTCACCTGCTCATGATTATTAATGAGGGGGAGGGGTCCATGTGGAGGACGTAACCTGTTCATGATTATTCATGAGGGGGGCTGGTCGACGTGGAGTGACGTCACGAGCATTGCACACAGACAATCTTGGCTCATTATAGTAGGTAATAATAATGGGGGGGGGGGGGGGGTGTCCATTTGGATGACGTCACCTGCTCATGATTATTAATGAGGGGGCTGTTCGATGTGAAGTGACGTCACTTGCTCATGATTATTAGTGAGGGGGAGGGGGGGGAGTACTCCATAGAGTGACGTCACGAGCGTTCAGGACAGACGTTCCTGGGTGATTATAGTAGTAGGCATAGAACCACAAATTGCTGCTTCCCCCCTTGTCTGAAGTTTCCCGTGCTAGCTCTGTGCGCGTTAACGCATTCTGCTGCGTTTTTAGACGCAACTCGCTGGAATGCTGAACGTTTGCAATTTGTCCAAATAAACCAAAAACATCCACAATGCATACTTATTAACGATGTTGAATAGTACACAGTGGGCAATGTTACTGTGTGTGATCCCAATTAAATAATTTGAAGGTATTATTCAGCATTGGCATGCGTGGCTAATCCCAGCTACAGACCTATTGCATGGTGTTTCTTTTTTAGCTGTGGAATAAAACCAGACAACCCAGAGGAAACCCGTGCGGAACGGGGAAGGTTGAGAAGGCACAAACTCCACACAGAGAGGTGCCAATGTCAGATATCGAATCCAGACCCTTCTTGCTGTGGGGTGCGGGGCCCACCCCCCTTGACCTAACAATAATGCGCAGAGGCACAGCCAGGATGGTAGCTACCGGGGGTGTCGTGGGGTCCCGACACCCTCCGCCCCCCACTAATTTTTTCTCGAACACAACACCCCAATACCCCATCTCTATTCACTGTATCACTTTTAGCTACCCTAATTGTGCCACTCGTAACCCTTGTAAAGCGCCTTGGATGATAGCGCGATATAAATATGAGATAAGATATACTGTTTTCAGTATTCACATCATTTGAAACTATTTATAATAGGCTTCGCTGACTCACTCTATGGGCCTTACCTGGTTTAATAAAAACAACAGTTTCATTTTAGTTAAATTTAGCCATGGCGAAGAGACTCCCGTGACATTGTAGACACCAACTCTGGCACTTTAACATCCTCATCTTTCTCACTTCAGCACGTACATTCTGACTGTGCCGGCGACGGAACCCTTTCCATTCACGGCAACGCACGAGCAGTAGCGGTGGCTCGCCGCTGATCCTTTAGCCAGCAGTTGCGTGGATGTCACGTAAGTATGGCGCAGTACAACTCATCTTATCCGTGAAGAAGTGTGCGGTGGACAATCAGTCATGTGACCAAATAACAACCGTGAGAATTTCACTGGTTTGCTGGTAGGGCACCCCCAACGTCCGATGTGGCTGCTCCCCTGCATAGAGATCTGTTCGCTAGAGCGACCACGTTCACACCGGCAAGTACTTTGCCTCCAAAATCTAAGCTATGACCACCGTGAATCATGCATGTGCTAGTAGGACACGCAGCTCCAACTCCCGCGGTTGCCTCTGCTGCCATGGGCACAATTCGACACCGCCCACTACAGCTTACCACTGCTCACCACGGCTCGCCAAAACAAGGCACCGCTGGGCCATGAGAATGACCAAATGCTCACGCTCCGTTTGAGCGCCTGCCCTGCCTTGGCAGTGAAACGAGAGGCGTTGGCCCGGCACTGTATTGCCACTGAGCTACCAAAGTCACAATCCAGTGACGAGTCAAAACATTCCACCCTCGAAGTTCATGTCGGCGGCTGACCCAACTCGACTTTAGTAAAGTTCGTTGCGTGGTTAAACTTCTACCGTTGGCAGCCCTGTAGCCACGGGGGACTGGATGAGTCTGATCCCCCCTCACCCTTCCCTATACTGAAGTTCAACATCCATCCATCCATCAAGAGTACTACGTAGATTCAGTATGGAGCTGCTCATTCAACCTCAGGTTAAGCGCAAGACAGTGGGTGGGAAATTCCACCTTCCCGTCAGCAGCTCCCACCGTGCGGAAAGCACATCCCAGTTCCATATTCGGCAAATTGAGTCCCCTTCACGATTTAAGTACCATAAAAAAACGTGTTTACTATGGCCTTCAATTGAGTTGATGCTAGGAAGTGGCTACGTAAGGGCCTCGACGCTGCCGTACGCAGCGGCGTCTGTTTTCACAGCGGGCGGTGGGGAGAGGAGAGACATTCAGAGTGGGCGTGGTCACACAGAGGTCACGTGATGTACAGGAGGCTTGAGCTGATATAGATGTATAGATGTGACAGACACCTCTATAGAAAGGGGGCGTGTGGTGCAAGAGTTCACCAGCACCTGCTGCAGATACGGACAGAAGGAAAATATACGAGAGGCTGGTAGTAGTTCAGCAATATCATCTACTTTCCGCGAGATTTGCAAATGGGAAATGTTTTGTCTCGTGACACGGCACCGCAGATGACACAGTTCTAATATAATTGCCGTAAAAGAGTTAAAAAAAATGTGCCTCCCTTGGGTGTATACGTTAAAAATTAACAACGGTTGGAAAGAAAAGTCAATGATGTACAGTATTGCACACCTAGTATATTGTTGTTGTGTAACGATTCAAGCAAAACGTGATAAATAACACGATTCACAGGCACACAATAAATAGACAAGACGCCTCCTTCACATGTATGTCCCTCTATACCTGATCAACACAAGATCGTTTTTTTTAACTATCCCATAAGCCACATGGCCTTCTCGGTGTGCATACTTTCAGCCACATTGGTTCAACACAAATATTCGCAAGCTCGTCTAACCTTTCTCATCTGTTTGTAACCTTGATTACAACTTGGATTGTGCTGTCTGCTGCTGGACACTTTGACGTTGGTTGTGTCGCGGTGGCGAGATGTGAACTCCCTCGCCTGGTATGAAGGAGGTTATGGGTTCGACTCCGACTCTGACTCCTGTATATTTGTAGTTTGCATGCTCTCCCCGTCGTCGCGTGAATTTTTCTTCGGAGTTCTCCGGTTTTCCCCTCCACATTTAGAATCAACATCACGCGTTTAGAGTATCCGGCTACTGCTATACATGTCCACACGATAAGCCACTTCGTTGATCTGTCAATTGTGGCCAGGTCGCTTCTGACAAAGAGCTATACAGCTCAGTGGGCTTTACCTGGAAAAAAAAAAGATGTTGATTTTTTTATCGTTTTGGAACTTAGGGCCCGTGGCTCTCCAAGTGGGTATTAACTCTACACACAACAACAACAACCGCCATTCGCCACTAAGTGGCAGTGACGTCACCACGACGCTTGTGCCAGGCCATGTGCACCTTGAGGCCACGTCATCTCAGTCATCTTAGTCAGTCGACCCGTGGCACTTGGGTCTGCCCCGTGACCTCCTGCCAGCGGGCGTTCGACACTACACGTGGACTCTATATATACACATAAGCATATACAAACATCTGTAAATGCCACGCATCGCAGGCG